TTTTTGGAGGATGAAAGGATTTCCTTGCTAAAGTGAAAATCCAGTTAAGATTCTATATAAATGTAAGATTCTAGATAAATATAAATTATATTATGTAAGTATATTATCTATAACAGAGATAAATAAAATACATAAATATATAAACAAATATATGTGATATAAATACATAAAAATAATTATATGTAAGGTTATATATAAATATAAATTAAGTAAATATATAAAAACAAACATTTTCTATATAACATATAAATAATTATATAGAAATATAAAAGGGATTACATATAAATATAAATTTGTAGTGGTCCCAGTCAGCTTGGTTGTGATTTTCTTCAGCAATTTATTTAGCTGCAAGTGAGGAGCAGAGTTAGTAGACAGTGAAAGCAATGCAGGGTTGGGAAATAAGACAAAGGGGCATGGGCTTTCAGAGTTGAGGATAATATGTTTGGTTGACTACAGTGTCAAAGCTGCGAAGAGAGGAAAGTGAAGCCCATGCAGGGAGAGAATCCTGAGTTAGGGATTTGAGATTAAGGTAAGGGCAAATAATAGGTTTAAGAGGAATAAGGCATAAGGAAATATGGAATGGCAGCAGGTTATGGTTGAATAAAGCCATTTTAGAATTCTCGATCATAGAAATGGAATACTTGTGACAGTGAGATCAAGGGTCTGACTGATCCTGTGTGTGGCTGTGAAAGCATGAGTCATGGGAATTGAGATTTAGGAACTGGGAGGCTATGGTACTTGGGGGAATATAGAAGTCCCTTGGTATAAGGGCAGAGGTTGGGGAGGAGAGGAAAACTGTGAGCCAATTAGTGGTACAAGTACAAATACAACTCAATCAGCTGATCAATAAACATTTATTAAGTGCCTGCATCAACCACTATGTTCCAGGCACTGTGCTAAGTGTTCCCTCAAGAACGGAGGAAGAGTGACTCTAAGGCCAATAGATTAGAGTTCGGGTGCTATCTTGCCTTTGTTACTTATTACCTGCATCACCTTGGGTCCCCTCTGGGTTTTAGTTTCTTCATTTATAATATGAGGGAGTTGAATTAGATAACCACTAAGGTCTTTTCTACAGTTCCTATGTGGAAGGAGGGCATGCTCACCATCAACCAAAAGGACAACTCAGCTTAAGGGAAACAGAGCCAAGCTCCCCTTACACACCCTTGTTTCTTGGAAGTCGTGCTTCTGGACACGGATTTTTGCTGCTCCTTAGGTTGAATCACCAACATGTTACTCATCTTCTGTGGAAAGTTGTCTAGAACCTACTGCTCCTAGGTCCTTGAATATTCTCTCTGGACTAGAAAGGCCCATCATCAGCCTCCTAAACAGCTAGATTCCCTCCTTCCTTCTGTCCTGTCTGCTGAGTAGATAAATGAAAAATACAATTCTCTGTGGTAAGGTGCCTTTGGACATATCCTATTCCCCACTATGTCCTGGTCCTGAGCTTCTATGGGCTGCTTGGCTCCTATCACTCAACCCCCATAGAGAACATTGTGACATGGCCTCATACTGAGCTCAGTGCTATGGCTGACCCTGACCATTAGTCCTTAGAAACACATCATAGATAGACACCTTGTTGGGCCATCCGCTGTCACTCATCAGCCCCCCTCCATGGGCTGGACTTGTTCCCCCTCAGAATCTCATCAGTCCTTTAGGACGCTATTGGTGCTATTGAAGAATGAGTCAGGTAAGTTATCAGTTGCCAAAGGCACAGGTGTACAGGGAGGGTTTTAAACTTGTCATTGTCCATCATGCAGTTAAGGCTCACTTCTCTTTCCCAGGTCCTATTCTCAGTAAATATTATAGAATCATCTTTCCTAGTTCAGTTTCCTTATCTCTTTTGCTCCACCCAACCCTAATCACAGGAGTCCTGGTTCTCCAGTTTTTCTCTCTTCTTCCTGACTGGCTCAGTTCTTTTGACCTTTGCTCTTTTTATCTCTTATGGTTTCAATTTGAATTTCAATGTGACTGCCAGATCAAAACTTCTAGTCCCCGTTAACCTTTCCCCCGAGTTGCAGCATAGCCTCTCCAAGAGTCTATTGTTTGGATATCCTACTGCAAACCTATAATTCAGCAAATCTAAACCCTATCTCACCACCATACCCAATTAGCAACTATCGGTTTTTCCCTTGTAACATCTCTTGCATTTATGCCTTTATATCCCTAATGTCTCATTTAAAATTTTATTGTCTTATGCCTCCTTATAGGTCTCTTTACTTTACCTTCCCTCCATTTTAGGGGTAAGTTCATTCCATTCCTATTCATGGTTAATTAAAACTTGTTTTTTCTTTTTTTTTCCCTAGGCAATTGGGATTAAGTGACTTGCCCAGGGTCACACAGCTACTGTCAAGTGTTTGATCTGAGGTTGGATTTGAACTCAGGTCTTCCTGACTCCAAGGCCAGCGCTCTATTCACTGCGCCACCTAGCGGACCATTTCGGAATTCTTTATATGAAATCACAGGTCTAGTCTCTATCCCTTTGTCCCCTTTATAAATGTATGCCTTGTCTCTCATAAGACTAAGGAATATCTTATATTTCTTTGATTTTCCCATGACACAACACTTTGAACAAAGATTCAAAAACAGCTTTTGAACGTACACATGGATTTGGTTTATACTGTGACCAAAGGGCAGGGATTTCTTGCTTGCTCTATCCATACCACACTGATTTCAGAAGAGAAGCAACTCAGTTCATGAGCTCCTCTGTTACTGCTTTATAGTAGCATCTGCTCAATATGGGATACATGACAAAGAATGATAGGGGGTGTAAAGTCCATATGACAGCTTTTGCTCCTCCTAAATCTAGCCTGTTATCCAATACCCTGTGTCCTCAATTCCGTTAATCCAGGTATGTCCCAGCCTACTACCAAAGAATGTTGAATTAGATGTGACAGCCAGTTTAGTGGAGCCAAAAGCAAGCACTAGAAGACTTCCTTTATTCAGTGAACAGCACCACCTTGTGGCAAGTCTAGTGCTTGCTGAATGGCAATTGCCACCAGCAGTTCAGTAGAGTAATAAAACACATCTATTTCTACACACTTGCCCCTTTCAAGATTATTCTTTAACCAGTGGGGGACTAAGTGTTTGGGGACTTTCATTTTTATGAATTGTTGCCTCCCCCCCACCCAGAAATAGCATGTTCTTCCCCCTAACAAACAGGGGTTTTAACTGCTGTAACATTTTATATTATTCCATACAACTTTGTTCTGTGGTTAGAGTAAGAGCCGTAGACTTGCCCCTTGTCCAAGCTCCCTGGTCCGACTACTGCTTCGTGTTGGAAAGGTCTAACTATTCCATATGTGTTTGACGTGTGTTTCTTATAATTCTACTTATATACTCTTCACTCTCATTTTTCTTCCCAATTTTTCCTCTACTTCTCTTACTTCATTTTCAAAATCCTTTTTGAACTCTTCCATGGCCTGAGATCAAGCCCTATTTTTCTTAGAGGCTTTGGATGTAGGAGCTTTGACTTTGTTGTCTGCTTCTGGTTGTATGTTTGGATCTTCTTTGTCACCAAAGTAAGATTCTATAGTATGAGTTTTTTTCCTGCTGTTTGCTCATGTTCCCAGCCAATCACCAGAATTTTAAACTCTGTTAAGGTAGAGCTCTGCTTTCAATGTGGAAGGTGTACTGTTCCAAGCTTCAGGGGTTTTGTGCAGCTATTTTCAGATACTTCTAGGGACCTGTAAGTTTTCAGTTCTTCCAAGGTGGTATGATCAAGGACAGGGTGTTTACTCGTTTCCTGGCCTGTGCTCTGGTCTATGAGGGACCACAAGCACTCTTTTCTGCCTTTGAACTGTGAGGAGGATTCCCTCTCCACTGCTGCCACAAGCTCCACCATACCAGTGGTCCTCTTCACCCCAGGACTGCCACCTAGGACTGTGACCCAGATTTAAGCACAGGCAAAGCAAGAGAATCCTGCCTCAGTGCCAGCAAAGAGATCCCTGCAATCCCCCTCTGACTAGCCACTCAAACCCCCACTTGCTGTAGGCTGAGAGCTCCGGAAGCAGCCACCCCAGCCGCCACCCCAGGGCTGCACCAGGGGCTAGGGCTGGACCATGCTCCTCTCTCACCCAGGTCCAACAGACCTTTCCTACTGACCTTCTAAGTTGTCTTTAGCGTTTGTAGTTTGAGAAGTCTGAAAACTGTCACAGATGCCCATGATTCAGTCTCCTGAGGCCTGCTCCCAGTTTGCTGGGGGCCTGTCTTTGCCTGTGCAGCCCACGCGGAACTGCACTCCTCTCTCAGCCTGGCGCAATGGACTTTTCCCACCAACCATTCAGGTTATCTTGGGCTGGAAATTTGTTTTGCTCTGTCTTTTTGTGGGTTCTGCTGCTCTAGAATTTGTTTAGAGTCACTTTCTGCAGGTATTTTGAGGAGAGTTGAAGCAAGTCACTGCTTTTACTCTGCCATCTTGGTTCTGCCCCCCTCTATTTATATACTCTTAACATTCACAGAGATAAAGCAATATCAGAGTTTTTGAGGTATCTCTCAGAGTACCCTCTGCCCCCAATCTTCAACTACTTTAAGCACTTAGGGAAATGAGAATTTTTTCCTTGCCCTGCCTCAACTCATCTTCTGGACAGTAAGCTCCCTGAGGGTAGAGTACAGGTCTCATTCTTTGCATCTCCTCCACCACACCCTAAGCACAGTATATAGCAGACAGCTCCTCAGAACCTACTTGTTAATGGCATAGAGCTGGCTGAATGGGGCCTCAGCTCTGCTCAGGTCAGCTCAGATATCTTACTCTGCTCCAGCCTCTCTGCTTTTCCTCTGGCATTTCCTGAGAGGGGAATAGACTCTTTGTGCTTGTCTTTCAGCATCTTGTTCTTCTCCCAATACAGCTAATTAGGGGTGGCTTACTGGAGGACTCAGTATAGACTCTAAATGCCAGATAACATTACTCACAATGGAAGATTAACATATGGTCACAGATGAGAAAGGTCTTAGGTGACTTTCTACTTACACTTCAACAACCATAAAAAAAAGCCACACACAGGTGCAGCCACAGTATTTAATTTGTTGTAATAATAGTTACAGATAAACAGGTTCACTCCATATACAATTACTGATGCTTTTTTATACAGTTCATATTTCAATACCATCAACACTATTTTATTTACACTGCATTTATATACATTGACATCTTTCTAAAGTCAGTGCACTGTCAATAAGTTTTATACAGTAATTTACAAAGTGAATGTAATTAATATTAATAGTTAATTTAATAAATTTTCTGCTAATTCATGAATTAATTTAATTAAAAAATAATTACAACCAATATAACAAACACGGATCAAATAACATTAGCAGATTGTGCTACCTGCTTAAATAAAACATTGGTAAGGAAATTATTGAAAAATCTTTTTACTTTTTCATGGAGCTTGTCCAAGTAGGAATAGACAAAATTTTTGTGTACTGAAAGTTCTAAAACAAAGTCTGCATTTTGTTTTATTTCACCAGCCTCTAAATCCTGCTGTTTACTTATGTCACCTTATTAAAATAAAATTTCACCCTGAATTGGTAAGAGTATATTTTCATGTGAAATGACACAATTTTTTCAGTCCTTATTGGAAAAAAGATTGCAGGCAGATTAAGATGTTTCAAAATGCACAAAGGGGAAACTGTATATTAACTAGCCTCAGAAATCAGAACACAAATGTTGATCACATCCATAATTATCCCCCACCTCTAAGGAAGGGTGATGAAATTTGGTAGTGTGGTGGTTAATGACAGTCAACATATCAGGATTAAGTCAAACAAAGGAAGGCTGAAAAAAATAAAACATTTACTTCAAATATATTTAAAAACATCAACACTGGAAAAATGTTAAAATGCTGTCTCAAATAAATAATGAATATATCTTTCTTCCAGTCCTGAATAATTAGAGAAACAATGAAGACCAAGGGAGTCACAAAATGTTATGAGTACTAAATATAAAATTAAAAAAGCCCTAAAAGTTGACAAATGCCAAAATGGGTACTGCAATTCTTTACTTTATAAATGAAATAATGCAAACCAATAGAAGATTTATTCTATTCCAAGTGTTGAATAATAAAAACATATTCACCAGTTTCATGAGAACTATCTAGAAACTATCAATGTTTCGGTATTGTGTTGTTTTTAAATTTCATAGTAGGGAACAAAAATACTCTCTAGTCACTTTAGAGCCACCAAATATGAGGCTTTTGAACATTAAGCTGTACGAATTATGTTTTGTTTTGTTTTGTTTTTTAAAGTGCAAAATTAAAAAAAAAAAACATCAATCACAAAACACAACCTAGCTCTTGATGCAACTTTTCTTCCAGGAACTCTCTGTGCAATATGTGCATTTTGATACACGGTGAAAATTTACAAACATTCCTCCAGCATCAGTCAAGAAATAGATGCATGTTGGTGTATCCCAAACCAAAGTGCCTCTGCCTGGACAACCATTCCTTAGATACCTCTTCCTACACACAGCTACCCAAAAGCCATCCAGCCACTGGATGAAGGTTACACAACTGAGAGGAAATCCTTTCTGAGATTCTGCCACCAATGATTTAGCTGTGTTCTAAATACAAAAACAAAACAAAAAAGCAAGATAGACATATAAATAGTGGCAAGATGGTCTAAAAAAAGTGTCCATACCAGAGTTACATATATACCTTTTCATGACCTTGCTTTCCACGTCTTGCCAATATAATGGAATAAAACTTCAGGAAAAAGGAGGTAGCAAATCATGTCGTCTCCAGACAACACTACAAGTTTTTTTGTTTTATTCTTATTCTAAGGAGACCTTTCGTATTTTGTTAGGATAACCAGTAGACTCTACACTACAGACTAGCTCTTCCTTGGTCCTAATTTGCTGGCACGCCAAACCATTTTGTTTACCAGACAAGGGCAGCCTTGGTCACTCCCCATCAGAGAACTTGTCAGAGCTTGTAGTGAGATATTCCCAAACAAAAACAATCTTATCATTATGTTAACAGCTATTTAATTAGGCTTTTCATTTTGTGCTTCAGGGTCACAGGATAAAATAACTACATTTAGCTTGCCTGCTTCAGTGATGCTTTCGACTAATGTCAGCTGTAAGGTGTTCTTTTCTGATGTCCCCTTGCCTGACAGGAAGAACCATGAGTTTACTGTAACACACAGTACTTTTTGTAATCGGACTCAAAGTCTTCATCCATGCTGCTTGTGTCTGCCATTTTTTTGCCATCGATCTTTGGCAGAAATTGTGCATAGTCCATCCCCTGCTGCTCATAGAAAAGAATGTAGGCAGAGTCAGTGTCAATTTCATCTGGGTGGAGTTCCTGAAAGTGAAATAGACACATTCAATAAAAACCCTGAAACCAAATCTGAGACCTGGATTCTCCAGGAAAGAAAATGTGGTTTCTCTTAATCCACATAACACTTTAGCTAGATTATCTGCTTTTAAAATGAGTATTTAATTTGTAAGAGGAAAATGCAATTATTTGGAAAACATTCTGACTACAGCTAACTGTAAAATATGACATTTGAAATAACTCTTCATTCCTGGCCCTCTCCTATCTATAGTAAAGGTAGCTGTATGTATTAAAAGTTATTTTTCAATTCAAAAGAACGCATCATTTTGAGTGTTTCCTGCCCTGTTTCTTTTTTGCCTTCCTACCAAAGATCTGAGACAGTTACCTTGCAGCTGCTGTCATTGTAGCAGTACCACTTGTTGTTTGGGTTTTTGGCGTAAGTGACATAATGGCCCCCACCCATAATTCCTGAATGGCACTGAAAGAAATAAAGAGAAAAGTGAAGGCATGTTAAAAGTCACTGTAGCTGGAACTAAAATTTCTCACCTTTAGGTCATGAAAAAATGGTCTAGAATCGGTAGGTATTAAACTACTTGGTCAACAGACTACTTCAGTAGGGGGAAGCCTTTGTGGGGATCATGTATTATAACCACTTGCCACCACTAATCCTCTCACCCCCCATGCTCCCTGCAGATCTTGTGGAACTTTTGCCTGGGTAAACAGCTATCAATACGGTTAAATTTTGGGGGGGAGTTTATTTTTTACTTTATATTGTGGATTAAAATCTGTATGGCAAAGTAGATGAAGAACAAAACAAACCACAAAACCTTACAATTCTGAGTGACTTGAACCTTGGATCTCTCTTTGAGAAGCGCCAAAGTAGGATGACCCAAAGATCCCTCTGTGATCAAGGACCCAATTTCACAGCCTACTTACTGAAATTGCATATAAGTTGTAAATAGGTTTAACATAGACATCTTCTCTTTGATCATCCATGCTGTCCTCCTCACTGTGGTTTTCCACGTGACCATTGCTGCAGCCGTTACTACAGGCGTCATGCTCATAGAGGAATCCGTTTGCTAAGGTGGCCTCGTGATCCTGAAGAGTGAATAGCTCAGGTTGACTACCACCTAGCACATGCCCCCTACTCATGGCATCTGCCAGCTCAAAAGTCTGGTCAGTGCCATTCTCTCTACCGGCATCCAAGTTCTCTTTGCTACTTGAGAGCTTGTTTTTGCTGCCAATCTGAGGCAGCCGGAGCCGCCCTTTGCTCCTTCCTAAAGTCCGTGGGCTGCTGTTTGGGCTGCTACTTTTGCTTGAGGGGCAACTGGTTCCACTTTTTCTTGCTAAAGATGGAGAACCTGTAAAAGAGGATAAATTTACAAGAATTAATTTATCCACTAAAGCTAATTCAGGAGCCCGTTCAAATACCTATTTATAAAGAGGATGATGAAAATACTCAGATTTACAGCTGTTTATTTTGCATGCTACTGAAGAAACAATTTCACTTCCTCTAACCATCAGGTTTCTCCAAATTGAGTTAGGTTTTAAACCCTAAGACATAATGGTCCAAAGAAGAGAGTAACCTGAAAATCTTCTATATAAGGATGGGAAAGTAAAATATTTAAGTTTCAATTCAGTATAACAAAACACTTAATCTACACACTCCTCTCTCTTGCAATACATTAGACTAAATTGAGGGCACAGGGGCAGCTAGGTGGCACAGTGGATAGAGCACTGACCCTGGACTCAAGAAGACTTGAGTTCAAATTCAGCCTCAGACACATAACACTCATTAGCTGTGTGACCCTGGGCAAGTCACTTAACCCCATTGCCTAGCCCCCCCCCCCAAAAAAAATTTGAGGGCACATATTAAAAGAAAAGCTTACTGTTTCCAGGACTCCCACCAAAGTTCACCTAGTGTCCTGGTAAGGTGACTTATAGAGGTTGTGTTATCTCTGCTACAAATCTCCCTACCTTTTGTGTTACTGATGAAGTTTCCACTGAGTGAGGATGGGCTCTTGCTGAGCATATCCCCCTCCCCAGTGGCCCATGTGTTCTGGGGATCCACTTTCTTCACTTCACTCTGTAGAATCCGGGGCTCAGAGAGGTCATCCCCTTGGGGTGTGAGTAGTTTTCGTTGGCACAGAGCTGGATCTCTTGGCACAAGAAAAGCACTGGGGTCAAAACTTTCACGAGGAAATTTAACGATTTTCTGTGATTTTATCCATCGTCCATTCACAAACTGAAATCGTTTTAGGTGAATAATCTGGAGGAGAGATAGCAAAAAGCATCTGTATTTAAGGGTTGTGACCAAGGTACCTTTCTAAAAACAAAATTTTAAGATAACAATTTGGAAATTCTGGAAATAACAATTGCTCTGTAAGTATGGCAAAACATCAAGTATAGCTTTCATGCAAGACTTTAATTTTCCTTAAAGAGCTTTACTATTCATACTTATAACACTGTACTTTCTATGGTGTGTTCACAAGTTATTTTCCACTTACAAATACAATGTGACTTTTTGTGCTATTTCAAAAACAACCTCAAGACTAAGAACTTTTAAGGGCAGCTAGGTGGCATAGTTAATACAGCACCGGCCCCGGAGTCAGGAGCACCTGAGTTCAAATCCAGCCTCAGACCAAACACTTGACACTAGCTGTGTGACTCTGGGCAAGTCACTTAACCCCAACTGCCTTAAAAAAAAAAAAAGACTAACAACTTTTAAAATGTTACTACTAACCTTATCTAAAAATACTTTAGAAAATTCCAGCTTCCTTGAATGTTAAGAACTGCCATGGCTATATTCTTTAAAGAATTGGAAGTTTGGTCACACAATACCTATACCCCACGGCTCAGTTTTAAATGCTACTTGTAACATGAAAAACAATCACAGATACACCTTCTCATGATCCTAGATCACACACCAAGTGTTTGAAAACATAAGTCATAGGCCAGTGTCACAAAATTCCCTATAAAGGATGGTTTTTCCTGTGGAAGGAAAAAGCCCTAGTTATAGTCTTGAAGTATATTTTTGTCTTAGGGACAGGTTTCAAACTGTGAGTGCAAAAGACACTTCTGATAAGAGAAGAAAGAAACAGGAGATGTGAAGATATTCTTTTACTCCTCTGTAAAGGTCAGGGAACTTGGCTTCAAAAAATGCCAACTCTTTCTTTTGCAGAAATATTGCCTAGATTATAAGTTTCTTAACAGCAGAGGCTATGCTTTACTCAGCCTTACATTATCCACAATAACTTGCACAATACTTCTTACCTAAGAATGTTCAAACATACTTATTAAATGAATAAATGAATGAGTACTACTAAAATAAGTTTTCTTTTCAAGTTGAGTAAAAATGGTCACCTGACTTGCTTATTGTTTATGTTTGCTCAGGCCAAGAACATACCAGAATTGGGGGGAGTCTCCAAAGATCCAGCTTTTTGGTGGCCAAGCAATGGGTTTTGCACTTGGAACAGTAATACATCTCATTCTCTCCCAACTCCTCCTCGTTAGTGAAAGCACACAGACAGTTGTCCAGGTTGATGGGCTCTGCTTGTGCTCTCCGGCTCTGCTCCACACTTTCATGCTCTTCCACAATCTAGATAGAAACAGGTCATTAGGAAGGTTGGGCCAGTCTGTTTGTGTGCAGGATGTCAGTGCTCACCTGTAATCATAGGTACAAAGCTGACTGAACTTTTTGACCCAGGGATCACTAGAGCTATATCCTAAGGATCTTATTATAAGAGAAAATAAAAACCTCTACCTGTACAAAAATATTCATTTAGGTTTTATCTGTAATAACAGTGAAATCTGAAAATAGTCTAGATGTTCAATAACAGGGAAATGGATGAATTGTGGTATATTATTGTAATGGAATATTATTGCACCAAAACTGACAAATAGAAATTAATTAAAAAACAAAAATAAAAACAAAAACATGAAGTTTCATAAGAATGCAGAACAGGACAGCTAGGTGGTGCAGCAGATAGAGTACCGGCCGTGGAGTCAGGAGGGTCTGAGTTCAAATCTAGCCTTAGACACTGTTGTGACCCTAGGCAAGTCACTTTACCCCCACTGCCTCCAAAAAAAAAAAAAAAAAAAAAGTGATGTGGAGCAAACCCCACCCAAAATCAGAACATACACATTAACCACAACTATATAAAAAGAAGACCTGAATTCAAATCCTGCCTCATTCACTTATTAGCTATGTGACCACTTAACCTTTTCTCAGTCTCAATATTCTCATCTTAAAACTGGAGATAATAGTAGCACTTACCAAATCAAATGAGATAACATATATCAACAAATAAGATAACATATAAATGTTGTGCAAGCCTTCAAGTGCTACATGAACTGTTATTATTATTAATAAATATTAAACTGAGCCATGGTGGTGTACACTTATAATACCTGCTATATTGGTGGAATGCTTGAGTTTGAGAGTTCTGAGATGCAGTAAGGTTAAATTTGATGAAGGAAGGAAGGAAAGGAGAGAGGGATGGAGGGAGGGAGAGAAGGAGGAAGGAAGAACTGAGTTTCTATTTTACAGATTAAGCATAAGATGGCTCCCAATTCTGGAATGTGGAGGAGGCAAACCTACGCTGTAGGTTCTTTAGAAGCCAGAGGGAGAGCATATCATAGACGTACAAAAACCAAACTCAGAATAATCAGGAAAGGGCACAGATAAAAACACAACAGGAAGATAGTCTACCAAAGCATTAAGCCCCACATAACAAGGCATTATGCTTCACTTGCACATTTGTACCATGTATTACAGAGTTATTACAACACTATGTGAAATGTTACTTGTACTTATCTTTCATGTGGGATAGGAGATTGTGATAAAAGGAACAGAAAATTCAATGAGAAATCAGAGTTACTCTTGCTGAGTACTCCTCCAGGCACATCACTTCAAACCTAAGGAGTCTTGTTAACCAGCAAGTTGTGTTTGTTTGCTTGCTTACTTGTTTGTTTGTAAGGGAGAGAGAAAGGATAGATATGTATTGATAGAGAAGGAAAAGATAAACATTTTATTTATTCTTTCCCTACACCTGGGTTATCATTTGATGAACTGAGCATCACAAAATCAGGATGTACCCTGCTCTAAACTGAGAGATAGGCGACGCTGCAGAGCAAAAATACTAGTACTTCTACCAAGTAAAATAAAGATCCTCATGCCCAAGGGCTGAGCCCAAAGTCCTGTGGGCAATGACTTTTTTTTTTTTTGGGAGAAAGGTCACACATAAGTGGCATATTACAATTTTTTTTTTTTGGTGAGGTAATTGGGGTTAAGTGACTTGCCCTGAGCCACACAGCCAGTAAGCGTTATGTGTCTGAGGTCAAATTTGAACTCAAGTTCTCTTGACTCCAGGGCCAGTGATCTACCCACTGTGCCACCTAGCTGCCTCCATATTACCATTTTAACATATGGCTGCTCCTACCTGTTTTCTTTTAGTCCACATCCTGCATTGCTTTGTTCACAAAGGCCCATATTTTCCTTCTTTATGAAGTCTCTAATGAGAATTTTCTATAAATATGAAGCCCAAGCAGTCTTTATTTACAAATTTACAAAATTTAGACAGTTTTGGATAGAACGTGTTCTTCTGCTAAGACTCTTACTTAAAATTAAAGGGAACCTGAATCACAGGAAATGGTCCTCCTTGTGGAATAACTCATTGAAAGGGGGGATTTTGGAAGAGAAATAAAATTTGAAGAAAAATTTGGCTTGACTTTGGGTTTAGATTTTAACAGCTATTACTTCTTTTATGAACATTCAAGGCTTTCATCATCTTCCACGCTGTTCATCCACCAGAAAAGGCTACATGTTTCAAAAACAATTATTGCCAACTAAAAATTCTCGATTAATGTCTGAGGAAAGAATATATAGTGGAAATTCTTATATACTCTTTGCTGGTATAAGGGTATCTACTTCCTTCTTTAAAAAAATAAGCATAAAAAAATGAGCATCAGATATAGTTTGCCTTTCCCCATCCCCAGATACATATCATTTATCGAGTCTATCCTTTATGGTTTATGCTAAATTCAAGAAGAATACTGATTTTTTTTTTCTTTTTACTGCTTATACTCTGTTTAGTATAAGCTACGTACCTAGATAGATAGAACATGCTGATCTGCATTGGTATAGAAAGTTCCCTCACCTGGGAATTCCCTATGCTAATGAAATCATAGATCCAGTCACTATCCTTATCCTATGCAGCTAGATGCAGATGGGGAAGAAGAGGATTGGAAAAAACATGCATACATTTATCCAGAAGCTCTCTTACATGATAAACCATTTTGGGCACACGTTCTACCACTAGATCACCCACTGTCATGCAAATAGCCTAAATTGCTTGATAAGATACCACAGACTGTTGAAGGAATCTATGACACACAAAAAAGCTAAGAATACCTGCCTTATACTAAAGGTAGAGAATGAACCAACAGGTTTTGTGATATGAGGTTGAGAAGAACCACAGATATCAGGGCTGGAAGAGCCTTTGGAGAAGTAAATTAGTTCAATCACTTCATTTTTTTTTTTAAAAGGCAATTGGGGTTAAGTGACTTGCCCAGGGTCACACAGCTAGTAAGTGTCAACTGTTTGGTCTGAGGCCGGATTTGAACTCAGGTCCTGACTTCAGGGCTGGTACTCTATCCACTGTGCCACCTAGCTGCCCTTAATCACCTCGTTTTACGGATGAGGAAACATTAAACAAAAAAAAGATTGGATTCTTTCCCCATGGTCATAGAATAAGTTAGCAATAGCTAACTCTTACTAACTAACTAGTAAAACCGTCTGACATCTCATTCGTCATTCTTTCAGACATACCACCATATATCTCAGTCTACCACCCTGTGAAACACTCCAAAGGAACAAGAGGGGATGTATAAAGTCAGGAATAACAATGGAGAACGATAATTATCTTTTTTTGGCCTTTCTTTTAAAATAATACTTACAAAAAAATAAAAATAAAATAATTTTTTTTTAAATTCTGAAAAGTTTACCACCACCAAGAATAGATGATTATTTCCATATACACAATTAGAACATAAAGAGGATTATATATGAGAGACTGCAAGCCTCCATTTTATATGGTTTGCTTTTCTAAAATGTGTGTATATATATGTATATATATATACACATTTAAACATATACAACTGCACATCTAGACATACATTTTAAAATGTGTGTATATACACACACGTATATACATATAAAAAATAAATCACACATATTACTTTCAAAAGTGTTCTACTTGAACGCTCTCAGAAAAACCTAGAAAGACTTATATGACCTAATGCAAAGTAAAATGAGCAGAACCAGAAGAACACTGTATACAGTTAACAGCAATATTGTATGGTGACCAACTATGAATGACTTAGCTATTCTCAGCAATACAACGATCCAAGACAATTCTGAAGGACTTATGAAAAATGCTATCCATCTCCAGAGAAAGAATTGAAGGAGTCAATGCAGATTGAAGCATATTTTTTCTTTACTTTCTCTGGGTTTTTTCTCTCCTTGGGTGGTTTGGTTTTGTTTTTTTTTGGTCTGTGTTTTCTTTCACAACATGACTAACATGGAAACATGTTTTGCATGACTGCACATGTATAACCTATATCAAATTGCTGGCCTTCCCAATGGGACAGAAAGGGAGGGATAGAAGGAGAGAATTTGAAACGCAAAGATTTTTTTTAAAAGGATGTTAAAATTGTTTTTACATGTAATTGGGGAAAAAATAAAATACTAAATTAAAAAAAAACTGTCTATGCTTCCTTCTGAATTTCTTTCTATTCTCTTCTGTGCAACATGTTACAAAGGCCTTCTTTTTGTTCCATCACTTGTTAAACTGCCCCCCTCTCCAATTAAAAACAGGAAAAAAGCAACCTTCCAACAAATAGTTGAGTAAAACAACAAATAGTTGAGTAAAACAACTCCACACAATGGCCATGTCCAAAAATGGATGTCTGTTTCTACAACCTTAGTCCATCACCTCTTTGCGAGTAAAATTTTTCATCATGGAACTTCTGGAGACATAGGTAGTCACTTCTTTGCTCAGAATTCTTAAATTATTTTTCTTTACAATGTTGTTGTCAATATAAATTGTTTTGATTCTGCTCCTTCACCCATACCAGTTCATATTGGCCTGGATTCTCTACAACCACCTCTTTCCTCATTTCTTAGGGGGCAAAAATATTCTATTATATTCATATATCACAGTTTGTTCAGTCATTCCTTAACTGATGGGTACCATGTTCATTTCTTTTTTCCTTTTAATCTTTCCCCCAAGGGGAGATAGTTGGCGCAGTAGATAGAGCTATGGCCTTGGAGTCAGGAGGACCTGAGTTCAAATCCGATCTCAGACACTTGATACTTCCTAGCTGTGTGAACTTGGGCAAGTCACTTAACCCTGATTGCCTCACAAAAAAGCAAAAAAAAAAAAAACCAAACTCCAAAAACAAATGAAATAACAACAACAAAAAAAAACCCACCACCATAATCCTTCCTCTGCCCCCATTCTCCCAAGAGGAAGTTTGTTTTACTTATGACCATTTCCTTCTTCATATTATCCTGCCAATTAACACTATGGTCCACCT